TTTGTTTCATTCAATTTTCTATTAATTATATCTGAATGTTCTAAAGGAATTTTTAATGTAGAATTTTCTAAAAAATGTGAAGTTCATGAACATTGCATAAAAGTAAAATAAAACATAATATACTGGGTTTTATATGTTGATTTCATTATTTTTTTTTCTATTTTTTTACATAAACGGAAAAGCCTATTGATAGTATTTAAGTCAGTATTATTCAAAAATTACTTACTGGATGTTTAATGTATGACTCTTGTCCTAATTTTCTTAGTTTAAATCATCTTTTACACAATTTTTCAACGTAAACTTTTGAACCTTTTCTTATAGATCGTTTTCTTTTTCAAGAAACATTGTTATGAAAAAGTAAGTCAGTCTGACAATGGTACATTGAGGATTTGATGATTACAAAAGTTTTAAAATGATTTAAATAGATTGTAGATACACTATATAGTTGAAACTGGGCAAGTGCAAGAGAAAAGATATTACTTAAAAAAAATTTCTTCATTTTAAATATGCATTGCAAAATTTAATCAAAATGTTCTGTTGGACGAATGTTTTTATGTAATCCTAAACAATTGAAATTCCTTTGTAAAATTATTTTGAAACACTTTTTTGATTTAACCCTTTTCTGGCCAATCACAGTTTGTGACTCCATTTTTAGGACTATTATTCATGTGAGTCATTTGATGTACAAGTTTTCTCTTTGTTTTACAAATTATTTATTTTGCATTACAAAAAGTATCATATTAAATTTTATACATTTTCTTTTTTTTTTCCAATACATATAATCACATGTCTGAGTTTTTTCAATTATTAGAAACCAATATTTTTCATGAAATGAGCCAAATTAAATTTTTATCTATATTTTTTTGATGTATTATCTTTGAGATACTTATTTTGCAATTATTGCATATTACTTCCTATTGATAAATAAATTATTACTCTATGATAGAAAGGGGTTATGCTAATAAGATAGATGGATTTTTACCATTGGTGTTCTTTTAGTTTAAAAAACATCAAATTTTAGTAAAAATACCTATGAAATATAATTGAGCCTATAAAAAGAGAGAGAGGAAGAGTATTATGAGTAATCACTTTAAGTTAGAAACAAAAAAGGAGCAAAAACGAAATTCTAAAAATATTTATGCTATCAAAACAGCATTTCATCAGGAGACGCACTGTCTGCTTACATACTGGAGCCATTCTGTAGTCAGATGTTAAATGAAGAGCTGACTGTGCCTTAAGACCTCTTAATGGATAAACTAAATAAGAAAATGCAACCAAATATTGAAATGAGAAGTTTAATAAATATATAATGTGGAAATATTGAAATATATTTATCAAGAACATTTTATAGACAAAGTTGAGGATAATTTGATGAATAAAAGTAAAAGAAAAAATTTATTAGTAAAGGTTTTTATTAGTTGATGATGACAGTTGAGGCTGCTGATTTCCAGAACTAGTTTAATAACTCCGGAAAATATTATGTGAATTACATACCCATATGATGAATTTCGAACTGTCCACTACCTGCCATAATGCATTTCTCTACTCGGCTGTAAAAATTTCAGTAATCTTTCAATGTGTAAATTTCAACAATCTTCAAACCGAAATCAAAATTTTCTTTGTGCCTAACTTCATCAAATTTATCTTCAAAGCTAGCACCCAGATTTTTTTTTTTTTTTTGTGGTGGTTATTTATTTTCAA